TTGATCACAATATATATATATATATATATATATATCTAGGTTCTTTTGTTGCATTGCATTGGTTTTGTGTTTTAAGAATATTCACTTGCTGAAGAAATGCTCTATTTCTAACTTGTGTTTCGGTCATGCCTGGCATTATGACTTTTCACCAAAACTATACCAAAACTTGTGTATTTGGTTGGTTTACTAGCCAGCTAACATTTTAAAGCTAAGTATAACTAAATTATAGTTTTTGAAATTGTGCGCAGCTTTCTACTAGTCTTATAGGCCATTATAGTTTCTTATGGTGAAGGTACCTCATTCGTCAAATGAGGATCCATAATTTAACAATAAGTTAAGTATATGCCATGTCCTCCATTTTCTTATATAAAAGATAGGCTAGGACACAACTTTACACCCCGATCGATTACTACGAGGTTATGTTGCAAAGTCTCTCTTATATTTGAGAATTGCATGAACCTTTATAGCCTCTTCACATAGCTATTGCCTAGGTGCTTATATACACCCTAACTTGTTCATAGCCTTTAGTTTGCTTAAGCATATTCTAGTTAGTTTTTCTCAAAATTTTGAGTTAACTAACCTTATGTAGATTTCAGAGTTTTAAGGATAGCTCCACAGTTTTGTGCGTTCTTATTTTTTTCACCATGTCTGGTATTTAAAGCTTGGGATCACTTAAAAGTGATACTGATGCTACATGTTGTGTAGAAGCAAGCAAAGATTAGATGTGTACAGTCAAGATCTTATTCTTAAAGCTGTGTTTCCATTTAACAGTGGTTTTTAACAATGTAAAATGAATCTTTGCTTTTAAGATGCAAAATATTTTAGGTCTTTGGAACTAAGGTTCCATTGGGATGATTGGGCTTGAAAGCTCTATTTCCCAATTTTTTTTTTAATTTTTTGCTTTCAGTTTTCTTCTGATGTTTTGATATATTTTTATTATTCTTCTTTAACTACTACTCTTTCTTCTACCTTGACATATTCTTCCGCTCTTCATAATAATTCATTAAAATTGGTTGGTTCCCATTTATTTAGAGACCTATAAAAGCTTGAATCTTTTAGGCCATCCATCAAAGCATGCATTGCTACGCTTTGGTTTAGCTGCTCAACTTACACAGCTTCATTATGGAATCTTGCTATGTAGGCTCTTAATGATTCGTCTGTTTTTTGTTTGATAGTCAACAGTTGATGATTGGTCTTCTAAGGAGTCCTACTAGCTGTAAAATGATTAATAAACACGTTCGCAAATTGATTGAAGGTCTGGATAAATCTTTCAGGTAATGTTGCAAACCAAGCCTACGTTGCTTTCTTGAAGGTCATAGAAAATTGTTTGCATAGCAAAGCATCAGAAGCTCCATTAACCATCATTGCCAACTTAAATCCCTATACGTGCTCAACTGGATCTTGTGTCCCATCATATTCTGCCAATTGGGGAGTTTTAAAGTTTAGTAGCATAGGTTGATAACTTCATTAATGAAAGCCTTTTCCACTGAAACTGTGTGTAGTGTTTCTAAATACCTCTGTCAGTTGGTTTCTATCTATGTTACATATTGACGCAGTGCAGTTATCTCCTTGTATATGTTTTCATGGTTTGGTGGTGCTATCATAAAGGTTGCCCCATAATTTTGTGGTGTAACTTTCCTTTTGTTTGTTTGTGTGTCTTTCAGCATGTTTCTTTCCTAGATTTTGTACTTAGTGAAAGTAGAGGATGGCTATAGATATGAATTAGTAGTTGGCTCTGTTTGTCTTGAAGGTGCGTAACTTTCATCATCATAATCACTATTTCCACACAATGAATCCTTTGCCCTTCTAAGCTATTGCTTTGTGTTTTTGGGTGACGAAATCCTCTACATTCTTTCCTGTCTCTTCAGATTCTATGCTTGAGTATTTGCTATGTTTGTTGAAAGACGCTATGGCTTTTTTAGTTGTCTTCAAGCCTTGCCTTGTTTTCTCCATATCCTGTGCTAGCCTTCATACTTGTGATGCTATTGACAGAGCTATTGGTTTAGATTCGCCTACGTCTTTGGAATTTGTTCTTGATGAAGAAGAGGTGCTCCTTTCTCTATTATTTCTAGAATTTTTGGATGTCGTTATAGGTGTTGATGAATTTCCTAAATTCTCCATATGGTGTTTGTGAAGAACAAGAACTCGACCCCATGGTGGGCACCAAAAGTTTACGCTAAAAAATAGAAAAGAAGGTAGGGAACCAAGAACTTTATTAAGCAAGAGCACAAAGAGTTTATAATGGAGAGAAAGTGGAGAAAATAATCCATCTTCTTAGATTTATTCTTGAGGTATTTATAAGATGTTTATATAAAGTATTATAGGAATACAACTTTATTTGATTGATATTTGAGTATTCTAATTTTGATAAAACTATTTTTAAGATGTCTCCATGTGTTATAATTCTTATAGGACTCAATTTAGGGTATAATAATTTTAATTAATTAAATTAAATTATTAAACCAGCAAAATAATTTAATTTATTATAATAATCTTCCCTAACCTCCAATCCCCTCCTCTCAAATCAAAGATTCTGTTAATCTCTCCTCGTCTTTACACAGATTTTTATTTAAAATTTCTCTTAAGTATTTATTTATTTATTATGACTGTTTGCATACCTAATAATTTTTCTTGGTCATTTGGGCATACCCTAATAAATGAGGCAAGATCGAATAGAAACCAAACAAAACAACATTTGGATATTGACTCGTTCAGTGCGGGAATATTACTATTCCCGTGTGGAGTGAATCCCACCAAGACCCAAACAAAGTCTTTGGAAATTTCAAGAAACCCAAATTCTTCTTCAAACAAACGCACTGGGAATCGTTTTCCCAGAAAAGGTTGTCCTGGAAGAAAGCTTAAATTTTCAGAGATGCATAGAACCAAAGCTGTTAGTTTGATTCTCCTATCTATCTCGCTTTTGCTGCTTGGGACTCTATCTCAGGTATTGTTTTCTCATTTTTTATCAAATCCGTAACTGACTGAAGAAATTTCCCTTCTTTCTCTTTATTTCCTTTGAATTTGTATTTGCTCGCATAATTTCTCAGTATGGTTGATAATACCGTTTATGATTGCATTCAAGTTAAAATTTGTTGTGGGTATATTAACTTTGCTCAAAACCAATTTTGGGGTTGTGAATTTTTTTTTTTTTTTCTATTTTTTGGGTTTATTGGGACAGTGTTTAGTTTTATTAGTTTATCTCTTCTAATGAAAATAAGCTTAGTTGTGTAGCTTTGGTGACTGACTTCCCTTTTTTCCTTTTTGGTTTCAAATTTTGTGCACCAGAGCTTTGTAGAAACTGCAGATTCAAGGTACTGCTGTTTTCTTGTCCTATTTGGCTGATGGTTTATTGTAAATTTTTTGTATGGATGAATTTGAATGTTCTTGTTTCTCCATGAAACTGTATTTATGGAATATGGAGATGAAGTTTGAATTGTTATGTTTTCATTTAACTTCGTTGGGATACCGTGCCACTGATCATATTTTATATTGGATTCAGTAAATAATGTAGTCTTTGTCTGTTGTTTTGGAGCTGATATTGGCCATTGATCGTATTTTCAGAAGTCTTAAAGATGAAGGGGACCACGCGCATGAAGTACATTGTTCCAGAGAAAGAAGTAGGGCTGCATGGCAGATTATAGAGGATGTAAGGGTGAATAGGTTTACATGGAAATACATTTTAATTATTTTCTAGTTGAACAAAATCAATGATAATGTTGTCATGTATATTGTATTTGCAGTATTTGATGACTTTTGTGGAGCAAGAAGGATATCAGATTTCAAATAAGTGCAGGCTTCATCCTGACAATGACCTGTTCAGGGATCAGGAGAACCACAAGATTCATTTGGATATAAATGAGTGGCGGTGTGGATATTGTAAGAAAAGCTTCCGTGCTGAAAAATTTCTTGACCAGCATTTTGACAACAGACACTACAATCTTCTAAATGTAGTATGTAGACTCTTGTACCTTGTCTTGTGATGAAGATTGGATTTTTCTAATTTATTTTTGTGGCAAGTCATTTTCACTCTTGTTTAATTTCACTGAGTTGGAAGTTCCTTCTACTTTATCTTAATACTTAGTTCTAACTTATGATCAAACATTAAAAGAAAACTTATAATTAGGTTAGTTTGTAATTCAACTTTTAAGTAATAACTTGTGAATGCCTAAATGTATTATGTCTTTAGTCCAATATCTGTGGTATGGTTAGGTGGTTGATCTGGCATGGCAGATACTCTATCTGTTCTCTCCTTTTACCCCTTTAAGTTTCTCTTGAAATGATTTTCTTTGTAAGCAATGAAAGCATCTTGACCCCTCTGTCTCTTTAAATTCAGAACCAAAGCAAGTGCTTGGCTGATTTATGTGGTGCCTTGCATTGTGATTTTGTGATGAAGTCCAAGTCACCAACAGCCAAGTGCAACCCTGCAGCTGTTGCAAGGAATCGACACCTCTGTGAGGTTGCTTCTGATTATTGTAATTGCTAATATTGTTGGTTTCAGGGTTTTGCCTTGTTTACATCTATTCTTTCCATTGGACAGAGTCTGGCTGATAGCTGCTTTCCCATTAATCAAGGTCCATCAGCAAGTCGTCTTCATGGTATGGAAATATTTTTCCTTTTTTGAAAGAATATTTTGCAATGGTATTTCTGTTTTTATTTCTTGTAAATATTTCTATTATTTTATTTAATATGAATATACTGATAAATATCCATGCACTAGTTGTATAGAAGATACTTGTATGCTGCTTATCTCTCTCTAATGGTTTCCTTCTCACTTGCTTGAAGAGTTGTTTCTGCACCAATTTTGTGATGCTCACACATGCTCTGGAAAAAGAAAACTCTTTCCTAAAGGAGTCAAGGTAAGGTTTGTCCTTAATGTTGGAGCTGGGGTAGTAGAATATGTTGTACAAAGAACTACTTTTCATTAAGAGTCTGAGTCTGCTGTGCATGGTGGTGATGCCATTTTAGACTTTTTCTTTAGAGTTTTCTGGAAAGGCACTAAGAAAATTCTAAGGTTAATTGAGTGAATTTCTCCAGTTTCTCCAGTCAAACAGCTCTTTGGCATGTTAAAACTTTTAGACTTCTGGTTCTTCTTGACACTGTCAGCCCCATCCTCAATGGTTGGGTGGCATGGTTCTTCTTGACTGGCTTTTAGAGTACAGCAGGGCAATTTCTAGTTCCCACCCCCTTTCGTTATATGATAAAAGGATTGTATATATAACTTCTGGTTATTATATAGCATATTCCATAAAAAGTGATCTAGACCTTTTTCTCAAATTACTATAGACACAGTTAATATTTTTAAACCTCATTTTGATTGGTGCAGAAGCAAACAAGTGTATTCTACCTGGCTATTTCCATCCTGACTTTGATGCTGCTACCTCTTTTCTATGTTATTGTCTACTTGTATCAAAGGTACGACTCTTGTTTTAGAAAGTTATCTTTTGCATAAGCATTTTCAGCAAGTTTATTACTCTTGTGTCTATCCTGCAGAGAAATGAAGAGGGGAACCCAAGAGCTAAGGCGAATCTCACAAGTTGCACGGAAAACAAAACCGTCCTAGTTGGTAAACCTTCTTGTTTCTTATTATTATTATTATTATTATTATTATTTTGAAATTCCTTTGAGATGCATTTTGCCATGGTGATCTTGTCATGGTATGTGATTGCATTGCTGAGTGATCCTATAAGCCAGGTGATCTCATAACTTTCAATCATGTAGTACAGTGTTTAATATATTTTATGGCAATCTCATACTAATTAAACTAATGAAAAAAATTCTTACCAATGTTGGGTTATGTTTCACTTAAATTTAATGTTACTGAAAATCTCATTTAATATTTTTATGATACATTTCAATTTTTTGTGATGATGATCATAATTTGAAATAAACTGGATGAATAGTACACAGGAAATAATTGTTTAGACAGAAAAGAATTATCTAAGCTCATTAATAAAAATCTTGAAAGGAGGAAGATTTGGATGAGCGAAGAACTTATAGGGGGGAAATGAGCCTGTGCTGACTGATTAATAGGTATTGTTGGAATTCTGCTTCTGCTGATTACTATGTATTTTACTGATATGGTCTGAGTAATCTCATCTAATTGTATGGATATTACTGCTCTGGGCAGTGATCTTATCACTCCAATGTTGCAAGAGATCAATGCTCACTGCCACATAGGACTGACTACTGGATATGAAATCACTGGGAATGTTTGGGTCATCACCCTATACAACCCCTTCATGGACTGCTGAAGCTGCCAAATACGTTAACAGTTGACCCTGTGTTATGATGTTAACCCCTCTGCGCCATTCATTATAATATAATATATGCTTTTGTTTAGTTATCGGTAGTGATTACACTCAAATTCTGTTTTAAAGACCTGTTTTATAATAGTTCTTTTTTATATATTTCTTTCTGGGTTATCAGTTATGTTCCTGATTTCGTATTCCTTTATTATTTCTGCTGTAGTCTTAGAAACCATTTCATTGATTTACCAGCTTTATGGACAATCTTAAATCACTCTGATGCTTAAGTTAATGCTCTGTCATTTATCTTTTTGTTGACGTGTTTTAGAAACCATTTGGCTTATGGATTGTTACACTCTTCTATATAACCACACCCTTTAAAGCATATTCTGTCTCCTTTCTTTTGCTATTCAATTCTGATTGCAGGTATGGATGGTAAGCACTTGCATGATCATTAATATTGCAGTCCACTTTGGCCCTACCTTCAAGATATTTACTGAGGTTCAGAAGAATGTGATTGCCTAGTGGCTTTAGCCGTTGATGGTTGGCAAAAGTACAGAACTGTTTGTTGTACGAATGATCCCTATACCCTTCTTGATGCCACTCTGTGACAACACAGCAGAGTCTCTCCAATCATTTTTGCCATACAGTTCTGTAATTTGGAGATCTGAATAGATTCTGTAACAACACAGATCAGCATCCTGGAGTTTTTGGACAATCTGTTCAATAAAACTTATTTCTGGCTTTTCTTCGCCCATTTGTTTTTCTGTTGCAAAAGGTGTGCAGGTCTTGGTCAATATTTGAATCAAGAACTTGTATTCTTCGATTTCTAATAATGGATAAGCTCTTTACGGCATGTTATTGAGTTGGCATAGAATAAATAAATGGATTAACCATAGAATGTTTCAGCAGTGTAGACTCTCATGCGAGCAAAAATATTATTGTAATGTTTGTAATTGTTAACTAATATAACGTTCACGCTAGGGAGATATGACCCCAAATGCAACTGATATCAATTCATTGGATAATAAGAAACCATCTGGATCGCTAAGTCTAATATGAGCTAAAACTCTCTCCATCTTCTCTTCATTCACTAACAAAGTGTCGAATTCATATGCAGTCAGAACTCTTTTCTGCTCATCCAAGCAAAGCACGTGCCCACTCTCCACATAAGCCTTGTATGTCTTGCAAAGAGAGTTTGCTAATGTGCTACCAAATGCTTCTCTAAAAGACTTCAAATCAAGGCCTCTTGCAGTTCTTAGAGAGAGCATCACAACATCCATAGCCTTGTCCGTTGTGTCTGTTTGACTATCCATGCGCTCATTTACCACCCCGTTCTCTAAATTCTGCACATAATTGATGTATTCCTTCATCTTCCTTGGCCTTGAAAACCTGACTCCATTTATAAAACTAGCAGAGCCAAGGCCAAAACCATAGAATGGCTTGTTCTTCCAGTACGTAAAATTGTGCTTGCATTCAAATCCTTCTTTGCAATAACTGCTTATTTCATAATGGTTAAAACCAGCATCCGAAAGCAATCTTGATGCCATTCTATAGAACTCGGCAGATTGAGTATCAGAAGGTAAAGGGAACTCCCCTGGTGTGTACCTGCAAGAATATTGTCTTCAGTTTAAGACTCATCATAAAGCTAAAGACCAGTGGTTTTTACGGTTTTACCAGTAATCAAAATGCTATACTCACAGTTTTCCAAATTTTGTGCCTTGTTCAACTTGCAAATCGTATACAGATATATGTTTAGGTTGTGCTTCAATGGTTAGCTGCAAACTCTCCTTCCACATTTGTTGCGTTTGGTGAGGGAGAGAAGATATGAGATCCATGCTCCAATTCTCGACCCCACATGAGCCAACAATCTCAATAGCCTCATACACCTCCTTAACACCATGTGCTCTCCCACAAGCCTTCAACATCTCATCTTGAAATGATTGAACTCCCAGAGACACTCTATTCAACCCCAACTCCATCAAATCTTCAAGCTTCTTGGCATCAAAAGTACCAGGGTCCATTTCCATGGATATCTCAGCATCCAACCTCAACCCAAATTTTGCTCTCAGTACATCCAAAATAGTAGAAACCAGCCTCGGTGGCACAAGAGACGGGGTTCCTCCACCAAAGAAGACAGTTTCCAGAGGTGGGTTGGCACCAAACTCCAATCTTGACGCATTTATTTCTCGGCAAATCAATTCCACATAGTTAGACATTCGAGGGTCGTCCTCGGTTTGGGATGCAGTGGAACCAAGAGCAACGATTGGGAAGTCGCAGTAATGGCAGCGTTTTCGACAGAAAGGAAGGTGGACGTAAGCCGAAGTTGGAGGGACTTGGGTTGTTGCTGCAAAGATGCTGGGTGAAACATTTTGTTGAACAGTTGGTGGGTGTGGGGTTAAAGTGGCAGAGATGGCACGAGAAAGGATGTTTCTGGATCTGGGATTGGCGGGAAAGGTTGAGAAAATTGGAGTTAAGGTTGATTTCAGCATGAATGACTCACTGATGAAAATAATCTTGTCGTTGTAACAAAGCTAAAGATTGAGGATTGAGGCTCGAGGGGATGAAAATAATCTTGGTGTTCTAACATGGAAAGAGAAATAAACGCCAAAGACGGCAGCGGCTTGCATAGTTGCTTCTTGCCAGCATTGACCGGGGAGTAATAATGCATTACTTTCCTCCAGAGCCCAATTGGTTTTTGGTTTTTGGTTTTTGGGGCACTATTTATTAGTTGTTACTCCCTCTAAAATAATTGCTGTTTTATAATTTTTTTAACATATTAAAATTTTGAATACAATATATATATTATCTTTAAAAATAAAATAAAGATAAATAAAAAATTTGGAGTGCATAATTAAATTTAAGATGTAATTATAGAGTTAAAGTAAAAAAAATATTTGTCACTTAGAAAAATTTTTAAAAAATGAAAATTTAATTTAGGATAAATTTTGTCTTTTTTTTTTCCATTGAATAAATCTTATAGTAATTATATATAAAATTACTATAACAACAAAACTTTCTCTAAAATTCTCAAATAAATACTCATGAATTTTAAAAAATTTTCAATAAATACTTAATGGGCTTCTTTGCTATATATATATATATATTTTTTTTTTTTTTGAACAATGAGAATTTTCTTCGGGCGGATGGGGAAGGGGGGACCTGGGATTGAACTCAAGTTCAACTAGTCCTAAGTATGTCCTACTTTGCAGGAGATCAGTTGGCCTCCAAGTGCAGGACTTCTTTACTATATATTAAATTATTGTAACAACAAAATTCTTCAAAAAAAATGTTTAAATAAAAACTCAATGGAGTTTTAAAAGATTCTCAATAAATATTCAATAAGTTTTAAAAAATTCTCATTAAATACTCAATGGCTTTTTAAAAAAATTCACTTTAAAAAGTAATTCAAATCTAACATTAGGGTGTAAGATCCATAAATTATGAATTAATATAAAATAAGAAAATAATTCAATTTATAATTACAAAATAAGGGTGTGAGACCCACAAATTAACAAGTCTAGATGTGGCAGCTATGCGGCATTATTGGGTCCCTCTTATTCGTCTCATTAATTATAATTAAAAAAAATATAAAATAACAAATTAATAATTCTTAGATACTAAGTCTTGAAAAAGTTGATATTAAACAAATTAATAACTCCCCAAGTACCTAAAAAAATCTTGAAATAATTCTTATTAAGTGCTACAATTCAACCTTAATAGAAAATTAAGTTTAATTATATCAAAAATGTTTTTTTAGTAACTACTACAATTCAACCTTTAATAGAATTTAGTCTCTTATTCATCAAAAAATGGATCTTCCTATCGTACACTACATCTATATATATATACATAAAGATTCATTTATATATAGAGGTTTTACATATTATAATTATACAAAATATTAATATTCATTATCTATTTTTAATAATTGAAAT